CACCTCTCCAGCAATGATTGTCAGATCACAGCTTTAGTAACACTTAAATTACTGTTGGGATTTAAACCCTGGTATCATCAACTCAGGAGTACATGATACCATTGTAGTGTGCCAGCATTTTCCAGAGCCTTCTGTGCATACATGTTCTAATGGTGGGCACTTTAAAGGGCAAAAAGTTCGTGCAAATACCCTCAGTAGTAGAGGACTCACTGTCACTAATATTACCAATATGCTTATTGCAAACTCAGAATGTTTAAATTGAAGAATGGCACCGCAATTCTTACTTGTACACATAATCCCCATCACCGTAACTTCTTCTGCAAAGCTCTGTGACTTTTCTCAGTAGATAGAAGTACAACTGGCCAAAGTTAATTTTTTTGCATAATAACTGAAGATTTGTGATGAACTTGCATTATATTTAGCAGTACCAGCTGACGCTTTTGTGCTTCCAAACAGCATGTGGCCCTTAGATATTATTATCAGGAAATGGGTTCTGCCGCCCGAGTACTTACACCCCCCAGTCTAGGCTTGACAGCAATGCACCGCAGAAAGCACACGGTTTAAGGGGCTGTATTTGCTTTCCCTTCCATTTCACTGGTTTGTAATTTTTTCTCCTAGCTCCTGCCTCTCACCAGCAGCCCAGGAACAGGGCAGGCAGCACAGACACAGGGGTTTGCAGGGACTCAGAGCTCAGCTTGCAACCGTGGACAACGGTGCTACAGAGATGTGCTTTCCTCCAGCATCACCTCACTGCTTTGGGGTGTACGGCCAGCTCCAGGAAAGCTTTTGATCATCACTTCAGGAGTGGCATGTCTTACTCATTATAGCTATAGTTTTACCTACTATGGATCTTAAGTTGTTTTTCTTCCATCCGTAGCTGTGCTTTTTTCCTTCTAACCTGGCCTTCTCTCTCTGACTGCATCTTGTGGGTTCATCTTATTTTATCTGCAGCCTATGAGAGAGGACAGGGAGTGCCTCACAGGGAGTGCCTCATTCGCTGTACCCCTGAACTTGGGAATTTGATGGCCTTTTTTTAAAGTTGATCCTTTAGTTATTGCAAGTTCAGAACTAATAAAAACTACAGTGACAAAAGAAGGAAAGCATTTTCCACCTTTGTAAACTTCTCGTAAGTTAGTTACCAGTTTAAATTTAAAATCAGAAAGACGGAGGCCAAATCGTCTATTGTTCTTATTGAACCACATACAAAGACTCAATTTTATTATGATACAAAAGGAAAGAATTTGTCATCATTAACTGTAATGTTTTCGGGAAGGAGGTTAGATAGGAGACTTAGCATCATTAGAGGTTTTTATCTAAAGATTTCCTGCCTCAAGTAATTGTTCTGAAGAAGTAAACACAGAGATTATGTCATTAATTCTCTCTAATGAAGTTCTGTGGTAAGTGGTGTTTTGTAGGCTCATTTGAAGAATTTTAACAAAATCTCCGGGGTTTTATTTATTTACTGATTTTGCAGATGCTTTGCAAAACTGTGACCAAGTAATATATTTTGTGTTCACTGTATTGCTACTAGCTTAGGGCTTTGAAATCAACGGAGGCGGCTGGTTATATGATTCCTTTTCACAATTACCCGCGGCAGTCTCAGGGAGCTAACACGGACACAGCAAACGTAGTTACATACATGCTTGGGCTTTTTATTTCATCACATTCATTTCTTAGCATAACCACCTGGTCAGCTGATAGACAGGTCAGTTCTATGATATCTGTACACTGCTATACTGTGCAGCCTACACAAAGTATTTCTAATGGATCACCACCTCAAACTCTCAGTACCCATTGTTCAGTTATTCTAAAAACTCTTGCTATTCTCTGTTCCTAAATATTGTTTGCATTGGAAACCACTGTCTTCCATTCTGCAGGAAGCAGAATTAAAACAAAAGAAAGTGTGTTTATTTTAGGTGAGCACAGGTGAGTGCTACTTTGAAGACTAACAGCAGCATCTATATTAAGAACATCCAACAGTTCTTATCAGAAAAGTCCATTTTCAGCTGTTTATAATTCTATTAAATTTGAAATGCTAACATAACCTGTGGGTAAGGTTAATGGGGTCCTTTGCTGTGAGAATATAATTTTGCTGTTTCTCAGAGTCAAACACAAGGAAAATCTTGCTGTTTGGTATTAAAAAAAAAAGAATAATTAAGATGTCTTCTTCTCTGGAAAGTCCTAGCCATCTCCCCATCCCGTGGCCTAAGGGTTTAAATTTCTCTAGGAATTAATCTTTGTGTTGTAGGTGGGCTTTCTGCTTTCCATGCAGAAACTGAGTCAAATTTCAGTGAGCTTTAAGGTTCCGCAGAGGCAGTTGCTAAGGATACGTTACTAGCCGGAAGGGTTACGCGCTGTCACCAGAGTACCCGGACGTCCTCCATCTGCCCCCAAGCTGGCACCTTTGCCAGCCCCACACCCCCTCACTTCAAACCTTGAACCAGTTCAGGCAGGGGTCCCAGAAAGCAGCCCAGTTTACAACCGGGCTCTTCCCTGCTTCACGGGGTAAAAAACAGCGTCAGGCTGTCTGATGGAAAAAATGGATGACAATATATGCCTAGAGAGGGACTGAGCTGGAGGCTGGTACCTTCAGAACTTCATTTGACAGTTCTTAACTTTGCAGTCTGCACTTGTGCTTCTGAGAGTTAGTCCACGTTGTGCACGTAGCCATGCTTCGAGTAATTGATTCTTTCTGGCTTCCCATGGCTCAAAATACTGAAGTAGAATAACAGAGACTGGTTCCTTCAACAGTTGGAATATGTGTATTTTCATCTTCTATGGGAAACTATAAAGAAATTTCAGTAGTGACTCTTCCCATCAGCAAATCTGACAAACAGTACTTTTATCTTTGTCCTTTTATCTGGTAGTAAAAATTCCTAATTTCAAATGCCATTTTAAAGAGTTTTCCGAAAGAGATTTCTCCTCAGGTCCCTTAGTAAGATGCTTCTCTAAAGGACTCCCATGATAACTTTTTATCTGTTCTTGTATGGCAGGCATGGTCTATTACAAATTAATTTCAAACATATTTTCCTGAATGGAGCTGCATTCTAGCAGCTATTGTTGGTGCAAATAATACTCTGTCACCAATGAATCTTCTGATTACAGAATTTGGGATGTTCACAACTAGAGAAAATCATAAACACCAGAAGGCACGCATTGCTGATGTGCTTAAAACCTGTCTGCCCCAACCAACTGCCCTCCAAAAAGCTCTCTTGATTTTAAAAGACAAGACCATTTGACAAAGTTCTTTCTGTGCTTGCAGAGCACAAAGACACAATAATAAGTCTCACAAGACAGAATAAGTAACACGAGAATTTCGTGATCATTATCTGTATTTCCTGCTGGGTTCTTTGTTCTTGTGGCATTAATACTTTGCAGTATTATCTGACAACTTACCTTTCTCAGCCTCCCCTGTGCACTGTGCTACTCTTGCAGGATCTTTCAGTCTCCATTTTCTGATCTGGTTTTCAGTACATTTTCTTGCTTTTGGTACGGTTAACCTCCAGTCAAGAAATTAAATGTACTTTGTTTCCTACCTTTAGTGCAGGACCTGATCCTCTAACAAAGTTTTGACTCTTCTTATTTTGCAGAGCAGTGTAATACTTGTCTTTGCTGACTTTATTATATTACTTCTCACCTGTAACCCTCATCAGGATTTAGAAGCATGGGAAGTGAGGGGAAATAATCTACCATTTCCTTCCTCATTGCGTCCTCACAGTGGAATTTCCAATGATTTTTCAAAGGCTTCCACCTTTTCAAAATATTCATTGAATGCTTTTTGTTTTACCACGCTTACATATACAGAAAACTGCGTAAAATTTGGTGAAGGACATAAAATTATGACATTTTTTATAACTTGAGAAAATATCTGTTTTCCAGTGTGCTATTCACATGAAAATAAATGCTTGCTAAACTTTTTTTTTAAAAAAAGAATGCATCCTCCTTCTACAAATCAGCACAAAGGACATTCTTTTCCTCCTAGAAACTTATATCTGCCTTAGGGGAGTAACACATCGAATGACTTTCTTAACCATTTTTAAGCAGATTCTGCAAGAAATACGAGGGGTCATATGCTGGAATACATAGAAACTGGTGCCTTCTGGAGACGCCTGTTCTCACTGCACTGGTAGGAGCAGTGGTGTGGAAGCCCAGAGGGAAGCATCCAGACGGGTGCTGGTCCTGTGTAGCTCCTGTGTAGCACCTACACTGCTCCTTGGACATCATGGCAGAGAGCTGAGTGAGGCTGGCAAAAGAAACCGTACAGCAAAGGCTTCATCGTTCCTCCCTTGTCAAGTCTCCCTGCTCCAATTTGGCTGCTTCTTTGTTCCCAAGGGCACATTAGAGAAGAGGGAGCGTTTGTTCCGTGTCTGTTTCTTTCTGAATAATAAGCAATCCTTCCTATTATCTGATTAGTGTTTCCTACTGTCCAAATTAATTAAAAATAAAAAAAAAAAAGAGGAAAATAATTATTTTAGTATTCTACAGTGTTGAATACCTCAGACAACACAGCTGCTTGACTGCATGATTTGGGATGACTACTCTTGCAGCCGTGGGCATGTGGAGGACAGTAACGGTGGCTCTGAGCAAGTATATTCTCAAGATAAAACCCATTGCTTGTGCGTTTTCTTGGGATTAGGTTTCCAGGAGCCAAAGTACTACAAGTCCCTGTTCTGTGAGGTAAGACTCCTTTGGAAAAATACAATACGCTGTTTGAGGCGTTTTGTTAATAGCATCCAAGCACGCAGGTAGGACGTGGCTCTCCTCCCACAAAGCAAAAATACATGAACGATTAATAAAAGGGCTCGAATTCAGGGGATTATTCTTTCCTGTGACTTAAGCCTGAGGAGGATCATTATCACCAGCCAGCAGAGGATCTATAAATAACCCATGGAGCTGAGTTTAAAGCATTAGTTTAGCTTCTCAGTGGAAATTGAGTGCATTGTCTAAGTGTGGTTAGAGGCAAATATTATCTTAAAGCAACTTATTGTTTTACTTCACAGGGCAAGGAAACAAGCATTTCTTATTATCGGGACAACTGACGTTATTTCAGCCCATCACTAAGACTTGTGGCAGAACAGGAAGAAAGAATGAGACAAAGCTGCAATTTCCCAGCAAGCACTTCTTCTCAGAAACGGGGAGGAGTGGATACACTAATTCTGAAAAGCCTGACTAATAATTCTGGAAATCAATTCCATCTACCCCTTCGGGGGCAGGTAGAGCAGAAGCAGCAGTGCTGCAGCCTGCCCCACACTGCCGTGACCTGCCGGCAGGTCTCCAAGCCACCTGGAAGTAGAGACAGGAGAACAGATTACGTGCCACGTCCCTCAGCTGCTTCACTGAGGTTACCAGCAGAATTGCAGATAGCGCCGGATCGGGATCTTTGGAAGGTGGTTATCTGTCCCCAGAGAACTAAGCTAACTATGAGGTAGCTTTGTGTGGAGCATTAAACAACTGTTAGGTGGTAACAACTTTTTGTCACTGACGTCATCAGCCAGATCGGAGCAGGCGATAACCCTCGTAGGCCTCCATCTTTCTACATATCTACCAAGTCTCCTCTTCCACTCCAGCTTCTGAAGAAATGTTGTTTTAATAAAAGTTCATGTGTTTCTATAAAGGGTGTGTACATACTCTATCTGGCCAAATATTTTGCACCTCCTTCAGTTAGCCCCTTAGCAGATAAGGGTTTGCAAGCTTTATCAGATGGTAAAGTTACACCATTAATCTTAGTTTGTATATTCAACCTCATGCCTGGTAATATGGTCCTTACATCTTTAGTGAAAAAATGTTGCATGTCTGCCAATGAAAACATACAATATTTTTCTTGCTAAAACAGGGATATTACCTCCAAAATTGTTGATAAATGCATATGCAAAAGCAGAGTAGTCCAATACCAAGCTGCTAGAACTGTGATCATTCCAACATAATACTTGAATAGGCTCGATCATCTATTCTTGCCAATTCAACAATTATATTCTTATTATTAATGGCTACGAAATTTGTTTCATTGTTCTTCAGAACACTTACAACCTCTCTGCTCCTATTATCTGTCTAGAGGTACTGAAGCAGTTTCTTCCCTTCCTTACAAGATGAGTTGCAGGCAAGAGGTAACTGGGGAAAAAAAAAGAAGACTTAAAAATACCTTTTTTTACATGTAAAAGCTGTATCACTGTACTTGGATAATAGAAGTATAATTGTCCATCCAGTGTGATGTAAGGATGTATATGCCAGCCTGTGGAAATATGGGCAAGTGGATAAGCACTACCAGTGAGGGCGACCTGTAGGGAAACTGCTCTTGAAGCCTATGACTTCAGGAGACTGTAATGTTAAGGTGCCATGGCTGCACTCAAACTAGGTCAAACTAGGTCAGAATACTCAGTGAAAAACTCCATTTTCAGTCTATACATTGTAAAATGAAATTTAAAAGATAAGAGGAAGAGGAGGGAAATAAGTTAACAAAAACCACCCACTGTCAGAGCCCTGTGTGTCCTGGGGGACTGCGCCCAAGTTGGCGAGGTCACTGCCTCTGCTTGTTTTGTCATGGCCCCATAGTTTCTGGCTCACTTTCCCTTTCTGCTGCTCTCAATTACCTCTGAGTGCTCACGAGAGACAGGTCGGGAGAACAGGCCTGGAAGAATTACAGACCAGCTAATGGTGCTTTGATAATGGAACAATAATCAAGTACTCACTTTGCATTCATCCAGAGGACAATAAGGGGATAATATCAGCCAACGTGGACTTGACCAATACATTTCAGGTCCAGCTCTTCTACTTATAGATGGAACATCCAGCCTAGTGGGTAGCAGTTAACCTGTAAGCATGATATAACTTTGCTTTAATTAAGACTGTTGATACAGTTTTACTATATCAAGCTGTGAATGGTATCCTCACATGAAAACTAAGAAACACTGGCAAAAAGCTGTTATTAGGTAAGCATTGAAAGCTCACATTCAAAATAAGTTTCAAAGTTGGCTTTCAACTGTGTCAGACCTGGATGTGCACTTATTTAATGTTTAAATTAACAGCCTAAATGATAGGTATAGGGAATGCTTTTATGCAACACTCTTTCCAAAAGAAAACCAGTAGTTGTTCTAGGAGCTATCGACACAAATACAGCATGTAAGTGAGCTACTCTATTGTACCTGGAACCTGACAGGGCCTAAATTGGAACATAATGCTTCCTTATTTGAATACCAATCTCAGTGTCAAAAAGGATTAGGATAAATTTGAGAGGTGAGCAAGTGGTGAGAAATTTAGAAAATAAAGTCTTTGAAGAAGAGTTGAAAAAATGCATTTTTTTCTGCATGGGAAAGTGCGGAGAAAGATGTTTGCATTGCTGGACATGCCTAAGAACAGGGTATACAAATATATACAAATATACAAAACTCCCAGTTACTAGACTGGATCCCAGAGAACTGAACTGATGGCTGGGATTACAGCTAGCCCTACATTTCTACAGTTTCTGAGACCTCTATTGTAGCTAAGTTGATCTTCATTTAAATGTGGCAGTCTTTAATCAAACTCCACTACACTATATTATTACATTAAATTGGTCATTGAATAGTTTCCTAGGAAAGATAGTTCAATGCATAATTTATGGTTTTTTGTACATTAGTATGTGTACATATATATATATATATATATATATGCATTTTCCACAACCTGACTAAGAAACTCTCATTCCATTTGGCCCACCTATTGACCTCACTGTCTAAAAAGGCAGGAGAGGTAATATATTTAAAAAGCAGCCAGCACTAAGTGGAGTGAACTGCACACATTCAGTATTTCATTATCTGAAAGAGCAGTTGTATTTACTGTTACTGCAATCACGATGCAAAAAGATATTCCCCGAAGTGCTCCCTGGAAGAGCGCAGAGGCTGTTGATACAGCAGCAAGATGGCCAATCCAAATTCAGGGCAAAAGCAGCTGGCCAATGACCCAAATATATTTTCCTGAGCTATGAATCAATGAGAAATGAACGTTTTGGTTGTTTGAGATGAGCTCTCACACAGAATGTTTTATTTTCCTTATCCCCAGCCCGTCCTGATTTTAAATGTATGTCAAAGTTATTTTTTATCCTTGAAAACGACTGAAAATAATTTAATTTCTTATGCAGAGATAAAGATGCATGCATATTTTATATCAACTAATATTTTTTGCTTTTTGCCAATGCTTTACTTAAAAGCTCATAAAACTAATGTTTTTGCTCTAATAAAAAGGAAAGCCCTTGAGACCTTGTATTCCCTGTCTGCACAGAATTGCACAGATGAGGGCAAGCTGCTCATAAATCCTTGCAACCTGAAAGCTGTAGTAAAACTTAGGTTTAACTATGTTCTGGAAGAGGGGAAGCATTTGCAGGCATATGCAGCATCAAGGGATGTAGCTCTGTTTACCTACATGCCACAAAGAAACACATTTAGAAAGCAGAAGGCATCTGGCCAGGCAATTTGAGAAACAACCTCTTCAAGCAACTGTCTTGGCTTATTACCCACAATCATCTTTGTTACCTCCACCTCCACCTTCATAATTAGGGCTTTCAGAAATGACAAGTTTGTGCCCAAGATGTCATCAGTGTGAAAAGCTACCACTTTGCTCATCATTTTCCACCTCTCCCAAAATCTTACATGTCCTACGACAGGGAATTTGTTATTTGTGATGGCTTATGCTTCTTCAGTGTCTTCTCTGGATGCTGTAAAGAGAAGAAGTGATCCTCTTCTCTCTACAGCTGCCAGATAGGACTGCTTTTGAAAGCAATTTCAAGCCTTTTTTGCCATGGAGCAGATGATCTGGCACTAAACTTGTTATGAACTTGGATTTTGCTAAGAGGGGAGGGGAGGGGAGGGGAGGGAGGAGAAGGAAGGGAAGGGAAGGGAAGGGAAGGGGTAAAAAAAACAGTTGTACACTTTTTTTAAAGAAACAGAAAAGCACAAATGAAAAAGGAAGTATTAAGAGTAACATACATTTTTGAGTTGTAAATTCTTTTTATCTTGCTAGAAATTAAAACATGATTGGCAATGTATTAAGAAGAGAAATCAAGCACTTGGAAAGTGAACTCTGGACCCAAATAATTGCCTCAGTCTTTCAGTTCTGCCTTTGATTCTGTCCCTAGTTCAAGGTTTTAAAATATGATTTGTTAGCAAAAAAGACCAAGCAGCTATAAATGACCTCTATTAGTTTAGTTATGACATCACATAAAATCCATGTTAAAATACAATGACCTCAGCACTCCTGTGTTTCACAAAATTCTAGAATTCTCCTATCACCCTTTTGTTGGTGATACAAAGTTATATCCTCTGTCAGAGCAAGGATTTTAAATTCATTTTCGAGCTTCCCTTTCCTGACTACAATGCACCACCTGACTTCACGGACCAAACAGAGGTGGCAAAATTGGAAAGCTCTTGTTACATTAACACCGGGATTTAGAATGACTGACTGGAAGAGCCACTCCACTTCTCCACTGATAATATAAAGAAGCTGGGAAAACAGACTCTTAATTCATTTCTTAGATTAGATGCCAGAAGTTAGGCAGTGCGATAGTCTCCTTTGCTCCTATCACTGCTCACTGCAGGATGTCCACCCCAGCTCTGAAGTAAAGTAATAACTATGATGTAAATGCCTTGGAGGTAGACGGATTTTAAAGGCTCTTTGCATTTGCTACTGTGATAGTTTTGCAGCTTGTGCCCTGACAAAATGACATGCACAAATCAGCTGTACGTTGCTCAGTTACTGCATGTGGTCACTAGACCACAACGATGGTGTTCAGCAAGGGACCAGCCACGGCAAGAGGTAAGGTTCTACAGTAGCTTTCTAACAAAGGAGGAAGAAAAAAGCAGGTAAAAAACCTAACTACTTTCAAGACAGGTCCCTGTAAATTTAGGGATATGATTTTGTAGCACTAACTGGCACACTAGATGCCCTGCCTTGCCCTTTTTCTAAGGGCGCAGACCTGCCACAAAGACGACAGTGAAGAATCACGTAATTCTGAGACATTTATCTATTCCAGACCTGCCTTTGCCTGTAAAAAGGTTTAAATGTTTTTTAGTTCTTAATTTTGTGTTGATTTTGATAAGAGATTTTATGGCTGGGAACTAAGTAGGTTTGTGGCATTGTATTTGCTGAAATGTAATAAAGAGATTGATCACCGAATTGTAACTTTGACTTCCTGAGACTGTTATCTTCATTTTAGGTAGAAGTACTTCTTGTGTCACAAGACCAACACATTTCTCAGCTACACAGATCTTAACACCTTACTCACTTTTTCACATGGTAATTTAGAAAAACAGCCTCCTCTCACATGATCTTGTTCTAGCAAAGCAAGCTAGAAATGTGACATAGAAAATAATTCACCAACGCCCCTAATTCCCTTCTAGATTTCAGAACAGCTCTTTTTCTTCTCACTCAGTCTCATAATAAATTATTGTTATTCTGAGGTCATCTGTAAATTAGAGCGCAGCACTAAAAAAAGCAGGCTACATAAAATTAATAAGTTTTAATAGAAATTGGGCAACTTGTAATTTTTTAACATAGGAAAGTTCAGAAGAATATATACGTTTACTTTTAATACCAAATTTGTGTTTGGAACAATGCCCTCCGCCAGTCAGTTTTAATAGGAACACAGGACCTGCCATGCTCCATTAAGCCAATGATCCATCAAGTCCAATCTTCTCCATTCTTTTTGGCAAATGCAAGATGCTTCAAAGGAAGTCAAATGGCCCGTCATGCACTTGGCCAATTTTTCAATTTGAATAGTCCATTGCGCAACAGCCATTCCATTCTTCATGTCAAGTCCTCTTCCCATATGGTTACAAATGTTAAAGTAATCAAGTGGCGTGAATGACCCAATGTACCCTTTTAATAATATTTAAGGCCATGTTTATGCTCTGATTGGGTCTGTTTCTCTTGAACTGTCAATTGGTTTTGTATACAATGCTCCTCACATTCATTCTCATTAGATCTCCTGTTTCTACTTCAATTCAGCAGCT